CGCGCTAGGGGGGGCAGGCGTTATGGAGCAAAGCTACGCCGCGTTCCCCTGCGGTATATCCTGAGGGGCATTCGCGTTGCCTCGCCTTTAATTGCAGCCGCAGGAGTAGCGCTGCCCCTGGCAGCGGATCAAGCCATTCCCTATTACTACAGCCTGATATGTTCAAATAAGTAGATGAAACTTAGGGATAAACCAAAGGCTGACTATGGGATGATCCAATGCTGGATTTGGGTTAAAAGAGTTCAAGAGAAGTGGAACACAAGTATTAACAGAGAAAAGAATAGGAATTTTTCGTCAATGACTTTCCAAGAGAAATTAACTTCCTTATCTTTTACTTTTTCTTGTCGTGCTTTGCAGACACTTCTTCCTCATCTAGATGTTCAACAGATCTTGCTTCCCTCTAAAGTAGATCTTTATTAGGGACCAGTCAGCCAGTATTCTATACGAGGAAGAAGTCTTGAAATGCGTTTATCATCCACATTTTGATATTTTCATCTATGGAGAATAAGGAGAATGGCTCAATTCGCTGGGTAGCGCTAGCTCTTTTGCAACTGCAATTAGGAGCGACGCAACGCAAAGGGTCCTCAGGATATACCGCAGCGAATGCGGCGTAGCTTTGCTCCATAACGCCACGCCGCCATCGCGCTATGTGTGGATATTGGTTGTCGTCTGTAGTGGCAGATTAAACTCCTCTAGGACCTCTAGAATATTTTTCGTTGATTTTCTTGTACTTCGTTGTTATGGCTATAATTCATGATATTTTTGATTCTCAAATTTTACCGGCATTGTACGCTATAAAAAATACTTTGATCAATGCCAATTCCATGTGTAACACACATAGGAAATTGGAGAAATTAATGAATGAACAAGAAGTACGGCTTCTTATCCGTGTGAATAAGCATTAAAAAAGACAAAACTGTTTGTATAATTAATTACTTCCTCCGTACCATTCATTCCGTACCATTCACTTATCCAGCTGTTTCAAAGCTCATTCCATTATATGGACCATGTGAAACCGCATTTCGCTTTTGTGAGCTTTCTAGTTTTGATGAGATAATAATATCTGTTAAAGTATCAGGCTCGGCACGAGCTGGCACCGGAAATTTTCAAAACGAAGTCCCCTTTGACCCTCAACCACATTTCCTCTAAAAACCTAAAAAATCTCCAAAAAACGAAAAAAAGGTCGCAGATTTTCCGTGTGTCTTCGACCGCAAAAACGAAAACCTCTTTGCTTTTTGCCAAAAACGATATCCAGCTTGCCCCGTGCCAGCTGGTGCCAGGCCCTGTAAAGTATTGAATCTTTTTCCACTTCCTATCCTGTCCTTACCCCAGCTCCATATGAAGCACATCACTGTAAACATGATTTGAATATATTCTGCGTTTTATTAAAACGTCTCATTAGGAGTAATTTGTACTAGTCAGTCATAACCGGATAACAAATAAATAGTGGCTTCTTGAAGTAAATAAAGGCAATTTTTATTTTGAAAATAAAACCTAGAAAACCGATATAAACGTAAACCTTTTAAAACCTAATACCTTTTTTTTCTATTCTTCATCTAGGCGGATCGTGTATTTCTTCGAGGCTTCCTCGGCACTTTACATCAAGGGCAGCGTCCCGGGGAAACCTCGCCCTCCGGTTTTTCACCTTTTTGGAGCCTTCTCGCCATGCTGAACCTATATATCTGGGCTTTGCAGCGCACGAAAATGGCAAAAAGAGCTTTTTTCGAGCTCTTCATGTCTCAACTCGCTGCAAAGTGAGTGTAAGTGGGCGGAGTCCGGAACATAAGGGGAGCGGGATCCGTAACATTTCCAAAGCGAGTTTCACGCTTCCTAAACGCGCTTTTTTGCTCCAGACTTTACTGATAGGTTAGTTGGGAGACCTGCCACCACAGCGCTCGAAAATCCTATCACTTTGCCGAGACGCTGCCTCTACGGAGTTATTCTTAAGATCACGTAGAAGTTTTTTGCTGAACTTTACCTTTCTAACTAAACTTCATAGAAAAGTTCATGTGATTTTGTCATTTCCTTATTTCCCTATCTTGCCTCAAATTCGGATAGTTATTGCAAATTAGCGACAAAATGCTGCGAGCGGATGATTCTCCCATGCCAAATGACCTCGCTCGCCGAAGCGAAGGATTAGCGCCTTTTCAGAATCCAAATGGCGAGCAAGTTCAAAGATCTATAGCATCGATTGTAGGAACTGCGCTGAAAGTTTATTTCCCCTCCCCTCATCACTCATCCCTCACTAATCTTCTTTCACCTCCCATCGTAGTTTTTGGGTGACTGTAGTGTCAAAAATGCGGATAACTAATACCTTAAATAACAAATAAATTTATTTTTTCAACTTCCAATAATCAATAAATAATCAATAAATAACTCACCTCCAGAATTTTCCAAATTCTCCTTTGAAGCCCACTTTCTTGCCTCATATAGTTCCATGATTGGCTAGTACTTATCGATAAATCAAATCATTGTCAAAAACCCCAAAGCAGTGTTTCCCACAGCTTTTTTCTCTGCGTGCATTTTCGAGTATGTAAGTCGATACCTACCAATGCCTTTGCGGTTCTCTCAACCCAATTTTGCTTTTACAAGAAAATTGAGGAAAAATCTAAGTTTATTCTAATAAGGACGTCCTGTAGAGCGTTTCGGTTTCGTTTCTTATCATTTCTTATCGTGTCGTTTTCGCTAGCGAGAAAACTAATCCATCATTATGGCTGTTCATGTGGCGGTAGTGCCGTTTTAAATATTTTCTTCATGCAGATTGATGGGTTAGCAAACTTTGTTTCAAATGAGCGAAACCAGAAAAAGAAAAGTCTCCTTTAAAGTCCATTTTGCATGCAAAAATATAGAGGAATTTCAAGAAAAGAAAATTCAATTTTACGCCTCTATTAGAAAACCTTATTCAACAAAGCACATACATATTTGTTTTTCTTATTTCAATCTCCTATGCATTTTCCAAAATCTTTTCTCTTTCCACTCTTTTCTACCAGAAAACCTGTTTTGTGCAACGATTTCCTCCACGTCAGCCACTTCTTTGCAGTTTAACCTTGAACAAGAACACTTGAGAAAAGTATTGCGATCTAAGAAGAACCCAAATCAGTAAGGCATTGGTCTTTTTTCTCAGAATGTGCTCTTATCACCGACTCCCCTCCTAATCAGCTCAGTTTTCATTTGACCTTTGTGTTCTCACATCATGCCATCGGTACTTTTCATCATAGTGCGAAAAAAACGTAGTGCTTTTCGCTTGAATGCCACTTGTTTTCCCGTTTTTGGTCTTTTTATTCTATAGCAACGTTGCTCAGTCATCTTTTGACTGAGCAACAGTCTTTAGCGTGTCTGTTTAGAATTCCGAATGAACTTTAAACTATATGCACTTTATTTTTCTACTCGTTTACTTTTTATCTAAAGTGCTCCATTCACTAATGCTTACCATAATCCTAAGAGCTCGCTCCTTCATCAAAGCCATTACCCTATTATTTACTCATTTGTTAAAATCCATTTTCGAAATGGAAGCAGGATGTTTTTTTTGATTACTCGAATATAGTTCCCTATTGGGCAGGATTTGCTTCAATTTCAGTCTAGAGAATAGTTCCAAAAGGTCAACATAAAAAGAAGCCATCGCAATCGCAGGGGAATACTAAATTGAGGCTTTATTTCAGAATATGAGAAGCTGTTTCCGCGTTAGCTGCCAAAAAATTAGAGTGACTTAGCAAAGCAATTTTCAAATTTCTCACATAACCAAAAACTAATTTTGAAACTTTTGCAGTTCTAAAAAAATCTTTGCTTGTGTTTTGATGATCTCTAGAATTGGTGAGTATAATAAAGTAAATACCGCATCAAAATTTTAATCAGAAGTAGTTGAAGCCAGCAACTTTCCAAACAACGTATATGGGCATAATTTTGCTTTTGTTAAATTAATACTATAATCCTGCTCTGCATTCATAATTACTACGGTGAGTTATAGTGTAGATGTAAGCTAGAACGGCATGTACCTGCATAAATTGTAGTGAATACTGCCCCCCCCCCCTTCAAAATGGGTCGCGAAATTTTTGGAATCTACTTACAGGGATTACAAAAATGTGCAAGTGACTTTATTCTTGTATAAGTAAAGTAATTTTTGATTTTAAAAATTCAAGTTGTCTTGCGAAACAAATTTTTTTCGAGGATGCGGCTGCCGTTACGTCTCTTTTTTAGATTTTAGGGGTTATGCCCGCAAAAATTTTTTCAAAAATTCCTCAAAGAATTTTTCGGATTGCGTGAGTTACGCACCTTCATTTGAAAAAATTTTGCCCTTCCCCTTCCCCCGTCCCGGACAAAAATACTGCTGGGATCCACTGCGGGATTATTTATTCGGGTACTTTTGGTCCAAAACTTGATAAGCTTTACTTCACTCATAGTCTAGTCATAAGTTCAAGAATCAAACTCCGTCATGGTGCCATCTGGTGCTTTCCTTTTTCTGCCCACTCAAGCACTTTCATTGACAATAGGCAGATCAGTCGTAAATGGCAAATGGATGCAAGTTTGTCTATCAGTTACGAAGTAATGACTTAAATAGGAAATTTTCACATGCAGAGTCTACGCCTTCTAAGCTAACCACAAACTCGTTCAATTCGCTTTGCGGAAATCCGCAAAACTTTTTTCGGGCTAGATGAATTAGCGGACTATCCCATTTCCATTATCTGCTCCATGAAAAAATTTCCATTCGCTCCACTTACTTTCTCCCTCTCTCTCCACATTCGTTTATCTAGTCTCATATAGATTTATCTTCCTCTTCAAGGCATTAGCTATACTTTTTCATGATTAATCGTGCAGAACTTTATGCCTCTCTCTGTCCTAAAAAACAAATTACATAGAAAAAGAAGGCTTTCCCTAATGCATTCATCGAGCAATGCTGAGTCTATCAATTGCCCTATTTATTTGCCTAGCCTACTCCTACCTTATGAGGAATCAATAAACTTGGCCAGACTCCAATTTTTTGCGTGGTTGTGTCACTGCTGTCTATTCGAAATTATGAGTGTTTTCAGATGCCTCTAGCAGGAGAACGAGTCCTCACAATTGTTTCGGGAGCTTCCCGAGGCATTGGTAGGGAAATTGCTGTACAGATGTCAAAGCGGGTAGCATCAGATTCAGGTGACTTGCTTGAACATTTTGAGAGGAGATATTAGACGGAATTTTTTCCAGTTTTTCTTCTTACTGCTCGCAAGGAGGCCACGTTAGTGCAGATAAAGCAAGAAATTTTAAGCAGGTGAATTCAACACTTCTGGTCCTAACTCCAGCAAATATATTTCACAATCAGAACAATTCTGAGATACCAATTTACCGAGAATCGTAATTTTCAGCTTACCAAAAGCCCGAGTTTGGATTGTTGTCTGCGATATGGGTTCTTTCAATGACGATGCAATAAATACCTTCAAAGAGGTACTAGGAGAAATTAAAGGTGAACTATTCAAGAATTTTTCAATTTTTTCCATTTGTTTAGTTTGCTCATAACGTCACTCGATATTTATAATTTGTGCAATTTTTTTTCATGCAGCACTTAGCTTCCTATTAAAAAGTCATGAGCAAAAAATTGAATAATTTCATTAATTCATGTTCATCTCAATCATGCAAGAAACTAAACTCGTAGCTCTTTTGCCATTACAAATTGATATCGATTTTAGGCGATAACACGTGTATCTCTCGCTTATTTTTTTTTGTACAACAATTTCCTGGCAATTGTTGAGCTGAAACATTTGATATTTTCATGATTGCAGTATTCTTTTCAAGAGTCTCGCACTGTGCGATCTTTCGCTATGAAATGCCACGATAAGAAAAAATACCAAGCTCTCGATTTAGATCAGTCTTTACACATTAAGCATCATTTGACCTTTGTCATAAAACTTGAATGTCAAAATCGTCATCCACTGCGTCTAAACATATAGTTGTTGTAATCTAGTTCAATGTACGAAATGACCTACACGCTATTTACTGAATCACATTTGAGATGGCCACTACCAAAAAGTAAAAGGCTTGTTTTCAAAGACCTTAAAAATATGATATGTGGGATGTGCTTGCAATCGAGCTAATTTATTAAATTTGAACATTCACCACAAAAAAACACCTCTCTCAATAGATTCAATACCATAAATAGTTTCATTACCATAGACATTAATCAAAGGGGCTATGTGTTGAGAAACATCAAAAGAACAGTTTTTGATATTGTACGTAACCACATGCTTAGAAATCGCTGGAAGAAAGAACAACTATCTTCCGCTAAACAAGATTTATTTGCTTACTATCTCTCACACTTAGGATTTGTAATTACGTTCTATAAATTTATCGATAACTAGTTGACTTACCTCCGCCCGTTCTGTCATTATTATATTCGTAATCAGCATGCTCGATTACCCCCCTGTGCCAACTCCCAGCCCCGTAGCTCAAATTTTGCAAAAAATCGATAAAATCGATATCGATCGATGACGAAAAGTAGCCTATGACACCCGCCGGGTCCCGAAGTGTATGTGTGCCAAGTCTGGTCCGGATCGGTTCAGAAATGGAATTTTCTATTCGGAACATACGTACAGACATACAGACATACAAACAGACATTCAGCTTTATATATAAGACAAAGTCGTTCATATGTTGTGCCTCTTTTTCAAGGGAGAGTACATGGGAAAACGATGCATGTGTAGCTAGTATCGCCCAAGACTAAATGAACTTTCTCACAAAGCCTGACGTTTTTACATACAATATAGCAGCCTTTCCTATTGAAACTTGTAGTAGAATCTATTTGAGAATCTGTGAGAGTGTGAAGCTAAGTGTTTACGGCAAATAGGCGCAGGAAGGCGCATCTGCTTATAAGCAGTTTATAATGGTTGCTTTCCAACATCTCATCCTTATGATTATTTTTCAGATACAGGATCTTTCGATAGCGCTTATGTGTTCCACAACTGTGGGACTGTTGGCGATGTTACCAAAAAAAGCACCGAATTGAGTAATCCGGACCAATGGCGACAGTTTTTGAACATTAATCTTGTATCTATGATACAATTCAATAATTTGATACTAGAATCTATTACTAAAGAGGTAAGCAGTCCGAATACTGTAATTTACCACTGCTGACGTCATACATTATTCCAGATTGTCAAAACACGAGTTATTGTCAATATCACTTCTTTACTAGCCTTGCAAGCATTTCCGTCATTAACACAGGTACGCAATTGCACCTTGAGCATCCTCAACTGCACCAATTAGGCGTTTACAGTACTCAGTAGGAAAAGCAGCTCGAGAAGCATATTTTCGTGGGCTGGCGGTAGAAGACGATTCCGTAAAAGTATTTAATTATTCTCCTGGACCTGTCGATACTGATATGCATGACGTCATCGCTAAGGAGTGGGTTTTGAAAATTCCAAAAACCTCTAAATTTTTTTAGTACTGTATTTTTTAGATCATTTGATGAAGGAATTCGGCAGGCGTTTGCACAAACCCAACCATCGGACAATGAAATTCACAAATCAAAGTTAACCCCTACGCAAACTGTTGTTAAGATGCTGAGATATCTTGAAGACGACAAGTTCCGATCTGGAGCGAGAATTGATTATTTCGATGAAGAAAAGTAATATAAAATATTTCAAACTAATGCACGACCGTCTAAGATAGTACCAGTATACCGAAAGTTCTTGAATTATGAAAATGTTTATAAGAAACCTTATCTGTGGAGCGACAACGGCATATAGCCACAGCGGTCGAGAAATTTTTTTTTTGGAAAGAGAGGAGGGTGCGACAAAGATTTTTCTCAATAAAAAAGCGGAACTTTAGTCTGCCTTTTAGGATGAACTTTTTGGGATGCTCTCCAGAATTTCTGCGGGCCTATAACCCTAAAAATTTGAGGAAATGGTGTTTTTTTTTTGGGATTTTGTATGAGACCTCTATTTACTCTATATTTTACATGAAATTATTAAAAAAATTCAAAAATTGTTTTACATACGAATGAAGCTAAGTCGCTTGCACTTCTTTTTGGCCCATGGAGATTTTTCAAGAATTGCGCGACCCCCTCCCCCGCCCTCCGCTCCGTCCGTCACATAGCTATCAATCTGCACCTCCGTCATTTTTACAGGAAGCGGAAGGTTGGTTGCGCTGGCGACTTTACTGACGTCTCAAGAGATGAATGTGGCACATTTCTGCCCAACAAAATTACTTCCTCCCGAACTCTGGTAAATCTCAGCTTTTCAAATTCCTCCTCCTATTCGCCTCCGCAACAACAAAAAAGATTGTTTGCTTCAGAGCAATTGATAAAGCGACATCTGCCGTGCTATTGCTTTTTTTTATCAAACTGATTCAGTTCACGAAAGTAAGCAAATATTTGGCAAGCACTGGAAAGAATGAAGGCATCACAGAACACACATTTTGGACGGGATCCATTAGCAAAGCATAGCTCTCTCGTAAAACCCAAAAAAACCCTCTAGTTGCATATTTGAAAAGGTTTACCAATTTGCTTATTCACTTACGGCACTCTATTTGCTCAACAGCTGGATGGAATAAACGAGCACAACATTCGAATGTCCCAGCAAGGAACGTTACTAGCAAATAATAATTAAAAAAAACGAAAATTTTATTACTCCAAGTAAGAGCAAAAAACGACTGCAGTTATGATAGAATTTTGCTTTCTTACAAGGGAATGGTCAGAAATCGAAGTGGCCAATTCAAGCAAGGTGCATACCGTTCGATGCAGCATAGAATGCTGATTTCAGATCTGTCTTCCTTATCTGCAGAACGCTCTTGTAGGCGAAGTTATAAGCCGTTAAATGTCATCATTTTGCTAAGAAGTTGTGCGTGTAAAGGTCAAATTTGGCCTTACAAAGCCATTCTCGGCTCAGTGTTGGACCAAAACGTGTAACTAGGTCAGTTCATATGGCTCGTACCTAAAGGTGAGCTGAAGGAGCAGTGATCTGCCTAATTTCGCAGTTTTTGTGGACGATTTTTCCGCAGTAAAGCTGCTCATAACTTCGCCCACAAAGGCGCTCTGCAGATACGGAAAACACATTTGAAATTAGCATCCTATGCTGCATCGATTGGTATGCAGCTTGTATGGATTGGCCACTTCGACTTCTGACCATTCCCTTGTTAGTCCCAAATTCAATCCAAACGTTTTTTCGTTTCCTTTCCCGTACCATTACCTCCTTCAAAAAAAAAAAATACATATGGTGGATATAATATGTTTACGAGAGAAGAGGTTATGCGCTTTACACATATGTTTCGAATCTCTCGATTACCCTTTTCATATACAAAATCTCGTTGAAATTGACCGCTTAAAATTTTACACATTCAAAGTGACTGAAGGATTATGATGAAGCAGAAGGAGCTGCCAAAAATCACACACAGTTTACCGTAGACGACCATCTATGAGACAAAAGAAGGGAGATCCGCATGCTATTTGATTACCTCAAAGATACCCAGAAGCACAAAGTTAAGATCTAATAGAATCATTCATACAGATTCAATAAAAACTTTTCAATAGTTACTACTTGTCCTGTCAAGTAAAGCCGTCGTGATCAATTCTTCATGAAATAACTACAGAATCCTTTTGGACAGTTTATACACTTTATCTAACTTTCAAGACAAGACCGCCTTAGGGAGTGATGCTGATATGCTCTCATACTTGGCTCCATATGCTATGTGCTCTCATCGGCAACAATTTAATAAATGATAGTAGACGAAAACGAGCGTTTTCGAAGTGTAACCGCACGCCATGGCTGAATGATGTAGAAAATTGCGTTTGCACCTTAACATAATTCTGAAAAGAAAAAACATCAAAGCAATTGAAAAGTATGTATTATACATTCCATTATTTCTAGCTAAAGTTCGCGAATCCTGGCCCTTTTAGTAAACTATAGCCTAAAAGCAGTACAAGTAATAGTTTGAGATTACAACCACGCATGTTCAACCTGAAAGAAGGGAAATTTACGATAAATTCACAACAAAACGATGCAAAGACAAGAAAACGCTGAAGAAAAGCCGTCAAGGATGTTTATAAAAAAACGATGATGCATGTTTCGCGGCAGACGCAGACTGCGTTATCAGCTTAAAGGTCTCGATGATTCTGGGTATCTTTGCGGAAGCTTCGGTTGCTCACAGTCCCGCAATACTTTCCCAAATTCAATAATTTTGCCGCACTTTGAGCTTCGAGTTTCGGGAATCACCTCAGAACGGACCGTTTACGCTTTGCCGCTTCTGTTCACTCCAGTAGTTAACAAATTCCTGCAAAAGTATTAAAAATGCTTTCTCTCAGAAATTTCCTATTGTCTGAGTACAACAGTGTTACTAGCCGTGACGACTGAAAACTCAAAAATTATTCTTATAAGCAGAGGCACCCAAAGACGTGGTTTTCCCTTCTCTGACAGCATCACAAAGCTAGAAAAACACAATCTTGCATCGCCAAAAAACCAAATGCAGTTCAGGCAACTGATCTGGATTTTTTGCAAGAATTCGTATTAGCTCTCGAGATGCTAAGTCTCAGATAATCTTTAAGAACCAGCGGTGTTCCTTTCATTCCGCCGTACTATACCAGCATATGGTTCTGTATCCTGCTTAATTACAAAGGTCATAGAGTTTGGATTTTTGACAAAAGTGTAGCATATAGACAAAGTACCTAGAAGTTTATTGCTTGATAAATAAACAAGTAATCGTTCAAAGGACCCGTACAATATCGGAGCGGTGATAAAAATCCACGTTAGCAAGAAAAGACCTACAATCCCTAGAATTATACATGTATCTCGACTACTCATGCACGCTCATCAAGCAAAGGATACCCATCAAGCAAACGATCGTATGGATATCCATGAGCAGCTAACACTTTACCACTTCGCCATTCTTCAGGACTAATACTTCTGCTCCAAAAGACAAAGGCTTCATTGTGCTTTGGTGTAATTTTGAGCAAATATGCAATTATACCAGCATATATGTCGTCGAAGGAGTACAGCTAGAAAAAAAATGAAATATAGGTGTAAGCTTTCTGAAAATTTATGGTTTTTCCAAAACTTACCCTAACAAGTTGCATTGCATAATAGAAATAAGAGATTGTTTTACGTGAAAGTAACACAGCACCAGCCGATATATAAGGTGGATATCGATTAAAAGGGTAGTTGTCCAATGAAACCTAGAAAGTACTATGGTAGAAGTTGTACACAGGCTAACTGAAGGCAGTGTCCAAGCAAAACAGGTACTCGGGTTTCTTATGTGTTCAAGAAGCCATAACCAAACCATTGCCCAAGTGGCAGCTCAGTGATCGCGACCGATGAATTCAATTCAAACTCCCGCTAAGACCGTACTCTTACGACACAGACCAATCAGCGTCCTAGCGGTACCGGGAGAGTTCAAAATTGAATTTTTTTTACCCAAAAGAACCATACAAACAGCCGCTTAGACGATTTCTTAGATAAGACCTTCAACCCCTATATAACGATGATGATTTGTCCGAACATGATCTACATATTAAAGGCACCGTCCACCCAAAATGAAGTTGGCGAGATTATGATGGCATACTAGTGTTGGCCCCCATACTAGACAAACCTCCAAGCTTCGCCGCAAAAAATTGCTTCTGGAGCAAGAAGTCCGCTCCGGAAGTAGCAAAGTAGGCGGGGCGACCCCAGTCGCCCCCTCCCCCCCCCCCCACTTGCATGCTTTATCTCTCCTGCGCTCGTTGCAGAGGGTTCTCGAAACAGGGATTTTTGGGGGTTTCGCGGATTTTCGACTCCATATTCGGAATCAGGGCTTTCAGAAGGCTTTTGGGTGGACGGTGCCTTTAAGGGGTTCACAATGCGAATCATCTATGGCAAACAAAAAATTTCCAAAACTCACTGCATGTTTATGCAACCGAAATCTGAACGGTGCAGTATCAAATCTCCACCCCTCGTACAGCTGGAAATTTTAATGGTCAGCTGGAGCATATTTGTGCAAATTGACGTACTTGCTGAGAAGGATTTTTGCTAGATATGTAGCGAAGAAGCATGTCAACGTGCACCATATAATCGTCGTCTACGAGCAGAACAAAATCAGACGCTGAACATCCACCAGCAGACTTGAAAGCATAGTTTATGGAGTGAAAGAACTGAAAATCGGTCTTATCAGAAATAGTAAAATAATTCTCACTACAGCATGATAACCGTTATGTGTTATGGTATTACAGAAATGCCGTCGTCATTTTGAAATAATTTTGTAAGACTATTCGGACAAAAGTTACTCACCTTTAACGTATTGTTCCTATAAGTGTCAATAACGTCAACTTGAAGTATATCACTTTGAGCCTCAATCTCTCTAGCTAAAGCACGATTAAGTGCTGAGGAAGCACTGGGCACAACTCCCACAATGAACACTACACGAACAGATCCTTTCTTTGATCCCCATGTCTTTCTGATCGCACTTCTTTGCTGAAAGTGATGACATAAAAAACAGGACATCAAGCTAAGGTTTTGGAATGGAATTGTGGAATTGTGAAATACACAACCGAAACCTCAGTTCAGGGTCTACATAGAGTATACAAGAAAATGGAAAAATAGCTGCACACATTCTGCAAAAAATTGTACCACACATGAGACGTTTGAGATATTAGTATATTTTCTGGTTTATAACCCCAGCCCTCTGCATGTTATGAGTTGGATTTTTTAAGTACTCGTGCACACCAAATTCCAAATGCTCAGAAGGCTGTGCCACCTGGGACAAATTGACAGGGTCAGGGAAAAGTCCGTAAAATCGGTATATTTATCGTAACCGCGAAACTAGGCAAGATGGTTACTTGAAATCAATGATGTTTATTCAACACTCCCTACAGAGTAAATGTACAGTTAGGATCCCTCCTTTGACATGAACACAAGCTCGAAGACGTTTGGGAAAGCTCTCCACGGAGATACGGTAGTACTCTATGTCGATATCCCTCTTTTAGACATTCTGAAGAGCGCTTTTCAGAGACTCTATAGTCTCGTGTGGGCGAACGCAGGCTTTGGCCTCAAGAAATAACGAGATAGTACAGGGTGGGGCAAAAGTCTGGGAGCCTCGTGCATTTTCGGATAAAATCAGAAGGAAAGTACCTAGAAACAAAAAATTCGCTGCATACATAAATCGAACCTTTACAAATACAACACTGCTCTCACATTTTGAGATTGCCTTTTCTGGCTTCAAAGCAGCCCTTGGAAATCTTGGCGAGCCCGCCTGTCATGGCACGCAAACAGTCGTGTTGATATTCGTCCCAATCCTTCAAGATAACTGTTTCTTTCACCAAGCAAATGTGTTGTATGATAGAGCAAGCTTTTAGCTACAAGTGCAAAGAAATTTTTTTTTTGCAGTGTTTAGGAAAAAAATTTTATTTTTAGTGAAGGCAAGTGTACGCATACTGGAAATCTGGATGCGGTTGCGAAAGCGGTAGCGAAAAATCATAGTCTAAAAGGCACTGAAACTGCACCATCGATCGAAATCTAATAAAGCTTACATAGAAAACTCATGGGAAGAATATAGCCTGACTTCAGCGCCTGCTACGCTCCTATAGCTTTCAAACTCATTTTGAAAACAAATGGCTACTGGCATGCAGGTAGTAATCGCAAAAATCTATTTTGCGTTTTCGAAAGGATAGCATCTGACATAAGCAACTACTACGAACTGACAGCGCAAAGCCTCCTCTATATTGTGTTTATCGAAGTGCCCTAGAATATCCACTGCATCTTCAGCTACGAAATAAGTTGCGAAGACCAAGAATTTCGTCTTTCCGCTTTGTAGAAGCATTTGCTTGAAAAATCCAATTCCTGCAAAAGTAGATGGCAGACATTTTTGGCTAGCTAAAGTGTGATTTGTTAAGGATGATCGCAGCAATATGCGGCACAAATTTGGAATCAAAACCATCAGTAGTTTCTTGATTTACAGCACTGCAAACTCGGCTCCCAGACTTTTGCCCCACCCTGTAAAGGTATCTTAAGATCCTTAGTATACAAAGGCCATCCAGCAGGAGAAATACAATCGTTAACGTTGTTTTGGAGGCATGATTGGACAACCTTCGCCATGTACGCAGGTACGCTATTTTGCTGAAAGCACAATTCTCAGCAGCAATAAATATCGTTACCAGGTAAATAATTCCTTTTCCAGGTTTGAATAAGTAGCAGCATCCACTGATGCCCTGAGACAAAAAAACCGCGGCATCTTGTAGTCGGATGCGATCGCCGCCCCCCATCACAGAAACCGGATAAAGCTTACGCTTCACGAATCAACCCTTGCTATTGGCCTCTTCAAGCGATTTGGAGATGATCTGTACTTTCGCGATCAAAAACCTGCCCTTGACATTTTTCTCGTCAGAAGAAGTATTGTCGGTAGCGTGTCTTATTGTTAGACAAGCGCTCAAATTGACGTCATCTGTGAAGTCGGGTGTGCTTCATATCGTCTTGAAGTGCGTGGGTTTTCCGCATAGATTTATGACAAAATTCACTTTCATAATGTCCGAGACGGTCCTACGCCTTATTGACAGCTCTGACGCCAACTCAATCAAGCTCCCTAGTTCGAATTAGTCCATTGGACTTCGAAGTATATGCGTTCTCGGCTGATCTTCCGGTTTGTGGGCACGTTAACAGTAGCGTGAATCAAAGATCATTGTTGAAGATAAGATAAGGTATGATAGGATAAGATACACCAAAAATTACTTGAAAGTTCCCCCCCCCCCCACCTGTATAAGCACGCATCTATTAAGAAACAATTTCTTGGACACCACTTCTTCAGCCTTAGTCCTTCAGAAGGAGAAAATAACTCACAAAAAACTAACTCAGCACTTTAGCAGTTACGAAAGTCACAGGGCAAGATTATGAGAAAGTTCCACTTTGGATAAATTTAGATTTTTTGTTCGCTAGTAGCAATAGGAAAAATGGTTGCTCCAATGGTTAAAAAGATAAAAACCTGCAAATGTTTCCATTCGCTATCACTAAATTGCAAACAGCAAGTCCCTTCTAGCTTTTCTCCTCCGCTGGACTTCTCACTGAAGTTACCTATTTATTGGAAAAGGGGTAACCTAACAAAAGTATTAGGTTGGAAACTAAGTTTTGCAACTGGTCTCATAACTTCCCTCTCACTCAACATGGCGCACTCAAATTTTGCCACTGCGTTGATTATTACGTCAGCTACAAGCGCAGCTGCTGTCCTATCAAATTCGGACGTCGCAGTGAGGATTACGGTAGGTGCATGGTATGAAGGGGAAAATTCAAAGTTTGACGGATTTGGCTGAAACTTGGCATAAGGGGATTATCCGACATGCTAATCACGAAAATGATAGTGAAATTGCGTGATAAAGGCTTTTTTGTAGGATTACTGTAGGTGTACGATATGGGGTCTCACCCTAAACAAGGAAGGAGGCCTTGATTCAACAAATGAATGTGATATTCGCGTTTGGCAGGTCAAATAACCCCACTATGTAAAGTCTCGGCGGAATTTGAGCTTCGGACTTTTTTGTCATTGACGGTCGTCCCCAGCAGCTCTTGCGTACATCGACTCGTTCGACTTTATGAGGACGCCAGATCTCGACATGCCCCTGAATTTTGTTTCTTTCTTAATAGGCCAAAGGAGTCAACCTCCAGCAATAATTTATAGACAAATCCGAATTACTGCGCATGGTCTAGGCTGCCAAAGGCTTCAATTTAGCTTTAAACCCCAAAAATTCACAAATTTCACTAGTTTTCGAAAAACGCCTGAAACTTTTCTGTTTCGTATTCAAAATTTAGACAATCTGTGCTCACTTGTAGCTCACATTGCCTTCTACATAATGCCAAAGTTTGAGTGCGCCATATCCAAAGAGAGCGGAGTTATAAAACCAGTTGCAAAACTTAATTTCCAGCCTAATTAAAATCGCGGAGGGCGAAGTTTGACTCATTTTCAAAAGGCATACAAAAGCTTGTGTGTGTCTATCGATGCCTGGATAATCAGTCTGCAGACCCTGTATGTTGCAGCTCGGTGGGCTTATAGCACCCTCAGGCTAGGCCAGACTTTGACACGATCCTGAATCTCCAGTCGTGATTCCGTCGTGGTTGACAACAGCGTTTCAACGATGCACCATCCCCGTAGCACAGTAATTCGAAAGGAACAAGCGGTCATCACTTTCAATCATCTACGTCTGGGAAACACTAAAACTACACAACCTTGTTCATGAAAGAAACTAAATTACTATGAGAGAATGCAAGGGAACGAGCCTATCTCGTTCCGAAGCCCGAACCGCCGATAATCACCAAGCTCAATCTCCAAGCGCCTCCTATAGGGTTTCCTGACGATCAATTGTATATAGACGCGCAGCAGAGTTAGGGGATTAATAGTATGATGTAGACGGATAATATAATACCGTGTGTGAAGAGACCGCACCGTTCCCCTGCAAATAGCGCAATCCCTTTCCACGCACGGTATTGTCTACTTCTCTATACAAATGATCCGAAATTCTACAGTCGAATTCTAATGCATAGACTTCTTCCGCAAAAGCTTATTGGCTGTGTTGCTAACACAACAGTACTTAGTAAGGATTAAGTGAGAAGTAAGATATGCTTCAAGAAGGTCAAAAAAGTGTATGCCGCTTTCTGCGCAACTATATATGTATCTCAGCTTGGCAGAGCACCCAGTAGGGGTTGGGAGGGGGAGATCCAGGCACGAATACATAATGGGCCCGACGACAGCGGCATGCGGCGCTCCCCTGCCTGCATCGAGGACTTGCTGCGCGAGCCGCGACACATTCATGCATCAGATTCTTCAAAAGCTACAAGATTCCCAAATGATCTTGCCATTCCTCTGAGCGCCTATTTATTGTGAAGTATAGATCAAATGAACGTGCCTGTTCGTTATGGAATGATGATTTCACAATGACAAGCAGTTTTAATGTCTCATTCGTCGCCCGACAAAGTGGTTCCGCCAGACGGCGATGAAGTCGAGGATTGTTTTCTGCAACGACCCGAAACGTTTTACCCGCTACAGCTCGACTAGTCTAAATTTGACTAAATTATTAAATTATTAAATGCCTCGTGTGAATAATTATTAAATTATTCACACGAGGCAGCTACTATAACATATGGTACTCACCTCTGAAGCAACATCGACATTATACGGTGGCCACTTGAATTCGTCAAAGCTTATTTCAAATAGATGATCACATAGACCACTAACCCAGGCAAAGACAGCAGCGATAAGAGCAAATAATATCTGCTTCCGATATCGCCAAAATTTATGGCGATACAGAACTTTCATATACCCAAAACAGCATTTTTAGTCAAAAAATACTCATTTAAATACAGTCGCTTCATTTCATATGATCATGTGTGTCATTGCACACACAGTCCACCTTTGGCGTCCCCATCCTGGATTCGTGGGAGAAACAAACCTTCAGATAAGTATTTCTAAGGTGTTCTTAGCATTTTCTTTCCTTTTTAGTTACTAGTCACCTCAAATTGATGTAATCGATACCAATCGGTAAGTCTCGTGCGTTTTTGCGATTGCAAATCCAGGATGAAGACGCCAAAGTGGACTGTGTGTGCAATGGCACACATGATCATATGAAATGAAGAGACTGTAGAGAAATGCGAAGAATTACAAGAAACCCTGCAGAGCTAGAGAATGAAGCTGGTGCAGGCATAATAACCTTTTTCAAAATTTGTAAGACCGCATCAATTCAATCTTTCGAAGCGAGAGACAGTCAAAGGGTTTGATAACAAGGCATCATTCTTCATAAGTCATAGCTTTTTGTTTATGATGCAGAGCAGAACGCCAAGTTTACATTTTTGATTAAAGCGAGATATGAAAAGCTGCAGAAAGCACAATTTTTTATGGTTATTTTGGAATGATCACGAAAACATTTTTTACAGCCTTAGGGGTTTTTTGCTCGAAAACACATAGAACGTCGCCGGAAACAGAAATGACCAAGACTATAAAATGCTTACTTCAAGGAACATGAAGCTTATCGTTTTCATAATAAATTCTGTTTTTCTTATCTAGGCAATCGCTACTTCTAATTCATGATTGTCTGAAACAACTGCAAAAAATCGCAAAAAAATTAGTACCTCCCTCGTTTACCCCCATGTGGTAGGTCCGGGCGTCTCGAAGCGAGAAGCTGTGTTTCAAAATGCAGCTATGAGAGATCTCAACTTGCAGCGTTTTTGCTCGGATAAATTTAACTACCTTTACTTTTGAAAAGCCTATTTATCGAAGGTACGTCACATGCATGCCGGTGGCGTGCTTGCGGCTCTTCTCCGCCCCGAACCCGCAAAAACCATATGAGCGGCTCCTGGACTTCGGCGAGGCGAGCTGCTAGCGCCTCTTGCGTTGCGATTGCCCTGTGCTGAGACATACCTAATTGATCTTTGTTGGTCATCACGGATCCGCCTCGCCACAAGTAGGGAGTCAACAATATCTCCTTTGCTTGTTACCCCCCAAAACAAAATCCAGCCTGTCCTTGGGCCAAATGTGCCGAATCTTAGTGTAAACTAGTGAACCACTTATTTAAAGATGCTAAATTGCATTCGCGCGCTTCGGGACCGTACCGCGGTTTCCCGCTATTTGCTGTTTCTTGAATTGGCGTTACAGTTGGCAGTTTGGCATAAGGTGATTTTTAACAACCGTTTGTGGCACCTCTAACAAGGGAACGATCCCAACTTGAGGTGGCGAATTGGAATGAACCGCATACCATTAGATGCGTTTTGATGAGCTGATTCCAAATCTGTGTTCCAAATCTGCGACAACGTTATCTGCAAAAAGTTATGAGCGGTTGAAAATGTGAAGTTATCGGGGTTTTAATATGATATGCTTCAAAATCCAACTTGGAAGTGCACGACTAGCATGATATTGAGTGTACTTATTCCAGGGAATGCTCAGATTCTAAAGAAACACAGACAAGTGTTTTTGAACAACTGATTTTCGAGGTATGGCGCTGTACATCTGCCAAATTTGGACTTTTCATTGCTCATAGCTTTTACCAAAGAACTTTAGTTGCTTTTTAGCTGTTTAAAAACACTAATCTGTGCTTCTTTAGAATCTGAGCATTCCTTGGAATCAGTACACTCAATATCATACTGGTCGTGCACTTCCAAGTTGGATTATAAAGCATATTATGCATTGAAACCCCGATAACTTCACATTTTCAACCGCTCATAACTTTTTGCAGATAACGTTGTCGCAGATATGGAAGACAGATTTGGAATCAGCTCATCAAGGCGCATCTAGTGGTATGCGGTTCATTCCAATTCGCCACCTTAAGTTGGCATCGTTCCCTTGTAAGGTGAGTAAAAGTGTTTCTGGCTCCAATTCTTCTCTCTGAACTAAATTTCTCCTCGATTTTCTTTCGTCTTAGTTCTTGACGTCTGAGCGCATAGTCACTTATAACCTAAACTTCCCAGGCTCCGAAGAAGGCGTTGAACGCCGAAACGACAACGACATAAGCCAATGAAGAATTGTTACTAATCTTGGAAGTAGCTCAAACTACAAGTGATCACCATGCCAAGATTCAAGCACAACGAAAAATACCAATATACCTCAACACTTCTGCCATTGAGAGCTGGTTGAAGCAAATTTTTGGGTCTCCAAAATTCTGCCACACTTTAGATGAGATGGACCATGAGGTTTGGCGATAAAAATTGAAAGAACTGCTACTCCTGTTGGAACTCTCCTCGGCATGATGGATTTTTTGATCTTTTTCGAGCTCAGATAATTTATAATCATTCATTCCGCGCTACTCACACGGTCAATTGTCTTTGCAAAAAACCCTTTTCCACCACATCATCTCCTCAAGCATTATTTTACTTCAACTCGTTTGATGTTCTTTTGTCAGCTTATGGTTCAGCGGCTCGGTAAATCTCAACTTTGAAAATTTTCGCTTATTTGGGGTTATCCGAGGCGCTGATGCCGGAAATCTACCTTAGAGAGCTTGTAAATGACGAAAACAAGCTTTTTCCAGGGCCCTCCCTTTTAAATGTGGACGAGTGATACAGTTCGCGCCAACGTTAAAGACGCAAAGTCGGTGCGAGACCCTTTCGGTTATAATACTGCGGCATGCCGCGTTTAACGGTAGAAGGGGCATCGCGAGCTTGAGGCGCGTGCAAGGAGCACTTGCGCGCACGGGCTTCAGGGCTGATTTTTTGGCAGGGGGAGGGGGGAGGCAAACTGTGCGACCGTAATGGTAAGCAATCTATCGCATCAAAATTCCGAGTTGTTCAGCTTTGCCGAACTGCCTTTCAACAACATTGCGCTGATTGAGAGGAGTCACCTGAAGCTTTCAAAGTTAGATAGAGCTTTGCCTTGAAAACAGAACGGAATCTGACATGTGCCGGACCCTGTCAACCCATCGAAACACTGCACAGAATAGAGGCTTGTGCGAGATCTAGATCAAAACTGACGCAAATAGCAGAAATGGTGTGCTAACATGTTTGCTATACGTGCCGCAGGCAAGAGCAGAGCAGGGCTAGCAGCAAGTGTGTGGAAGGGACGATACTTGTTCACGCACCATTCCGGCACCGCAAACACTATTTTTGAGCGGAGATCCTACGATAGTAGCTTGCGAATTTTGAGTTTTTTTATCTGGTGTGGCGCACTTTTCCAACACTATTTGCTAATCCTAAATATGTATAGCCGAGTCATTTTCAACTCAATATATTTCCTTACACCATGCGCGACAATAGACCTCTTCTCCGTTTGTCATCGAAGCTTATTGTTTCCTCAGCAGAGCGTTGACGACCTTTTTATGTTTTGATACACCGCATCGATTTTGACGACGGTCAACAACCAAAGTCGTGGTACCGCGTGTGTCGTACAAGTTCATAAAATGAGCCGCGAACAACTACATATTACAGGCCATCCTACAGTCCCGAACTGCTGGCAGGAGAAGGAAGGGGTTCTCGAGGTGGTAAACATGTACCAAAATAGTAATTTTGAACTATACTGTCGCGATAAGCAATTTGTGCCACTAGGCACAACTGCTCATCATGACAACGATGAGAAAGTGCGAACCCAAACTTTTCTCTTTCGTTTATGGCGGGTGCCCTTGCTGCAGAAGTGAACTGTTCTCTCCCCCACCCAGCTTGACTATTTTGTTAAATGGTTTGCTGAATCATTTCGAGCACATTGAATCGAAAGATGAGGAGATAGCGTTGTGTCACATTGGTGCTATCCACCAACTGCAGGAGGTCTCCAACACCATCACAAAAAAAACGCTTACACATGCAAAAATAAGGCACGTATTAGCGTGTACTACAACACCGAGAAACATCATTTCCATCCATTTTTATTAATCCAAATGTTAGCAGATAATCATAACCGTACGTGATCAAGTCATCAAATTTTTCTGTAAAACAGCTTTGAACGCTTTTTTCAAACAAACCGTTTTCGATATAGAGTACAACAGAAAAGGAACAGAAGAGGAGAGTATGAAAGAAAGAGAGGAGCTACCTGCACAACTCATATCATAAGTTATTACCTGGATAAAACAATCACATAAAATAACAGCAATGAACGAAGAAGTTCATTTTCAAGAATTTATGTACAAACCATGCTGAGAATCTGCAAAATGCAATTTAACGCGAGTTCAAGCAACTTCCACGGCTTTTGCTTTGGTATTCGAATCTTGTGGCTTTTTAGGGGCAGGAGAAGATGGCTCGTCTTCCTCCTCTTCTGTGAGAGGGGCAACATCACATAAATGCCAATTTCGCCATCCCATCAACTCTAAAGAAGATAGGTTAGTACCATATTCATATACATTCCTGCAACCAGAAATAAGCCAGAAAAGAGAGACAAAAAAGAGCAACTGTCTTCTCAGACGTATAAACCGCTATTCCAATTGCTAGCATTTCTATCAAATAACAATTTTAACTGCCATTATGACCAAATTTTCTGAAAGTGGCAGAAACAAAACAGACAAGCAAGAGAACTTTGCGAGTCAACTTTGTGCTGCTACTTTGCAAGTAAGCAAAAGCTAGATGCAAACCAAAATGCAAATTTGTGATTTTGCAAGCACCTGCTCAAAAACACAACTGCACGCATATGCTCTCAATGATTCAGCCTCACGCTGCATGCAATCTCGAGCCAAAAGTCAAAAATCAAAGTTATACACGTACCGCTGTCCATCAGTTCTATCGTATTGAGAAATTGGTTTCCATTGAATCCACCGATTGCATAGATCACATTTCCAGCTGTCACTACCGCATGCGTGTTGGCCCTGGAATGAAAGAGATGTTTTATACCAAAAGAATAATCAAGCACACAATATATGAGGACTGAGGCAAATACCTAAGTTAATATGAAAACGAAAAGAACACACAGAAAGTTATATGTACCCCCAGCTAAATTCTAATTTGTAAACCAAAGCTATGAGTATTCTACAGATTACTGTATGCCAATACCTAGGCGTTGTGAGAGGTAGTCCGGGACGCCAGGCGGCGGCCGGATGATCGAGCACTTCAACGGATGATAGCGATTGCTGACCGTCGTGTCCGCCAATCACGTACAGCGTGTCTGTGAGGAGACCATTTGCGAAATGTATCGACAAGCGATATGGATAGAGTAGAAGTTAATGAGAGTAGAAATGTGAATGAAACGGCAGAGGTGCGAAAAGAAATGGGCCCACAACTTTAATCCAATATAGTTTTTACCATTTCAAATTCAAAAAAGGTTGTGGTTACAGTCATTGTGCGATGCCATGGCCACCACTAGATTTCTTGGCAGCTTCAAAAAAAAAACTAAGTTTGGAAAAAATCTGGATGTCTATGAGGAACTGATTGTGAAGATGTTCTATGCAAAATAAAACTGCGCACAGCTAAAAAACAGCATCATGGTTCGAACGCACTCACTCAGTTCGCAAACGAGACCTATCAGCTTGAAGAATTTCTTAGCGGGTTATCTCCATCTCTACTTGCGTCCTCCCAAAGCATTGCGACTTCAAAACACTATGTGAACGTTTCTTTTAGCGATCACTTTTTTCAAGACACTGCTAGAGAAAAAACATGACACTCTTGACATCACTGCAAACCATCTACCAGAAAAACCAGCAGGAAAAACTTGATTGATTCTGACATCTATCCAGTCCACAAATGACCGTGATAGCAACAAAAATCTCGGAAGTTTACGTTTTATTCTTCTAATATAAAGGAAAGAAGGTCGATAAATGTGAAAAAGAGACATCGTCATGAGATTATAAGGAAAAGAAGCACCTCAGATAAGAGGCAATGGGAATGTAACTTGAAAGAAGGAAAAAGAACTCACCACGTACAACAGCCACAGCACATCCTCTTCTCGCAGTGCGCAGTTTCGGCAGCATCCGCCATGTATTCGTTTTCGGATCATACGCTTCCACTGTATCCATACAATTCCATCTGATGATTGTATCAAGAATTAGTGCAATCGATATGCTCATGTTTGAGAAACTGATATAAACCTGTCGCATCCTCCACATGCCACGATGAGACCGCGCCAAGCGACGACTCCTGCTTGATATCGAGCTAACTCCATAGGTGCTATTGGCTCCCAAACCTAAAACATTCAAATATTGATAGATACGATATCGCTTCAATCGACGGAAGCTTGTTTACAGCCCTCAACAGCGTCAACACAAGAACTTTACCTGCCGCGAAACATCGAATCGCTCACATTCCTTCAACACCTCTTGATCGCATGAACCTCCCACACAAAATATGAAACCATCCAAAGTTGCACAACCTTCAACATGATGTTAGCGGGTCGAAAACGAATACAAAATACATATGAAGTTAAGAAAAGTGATCAAAACAACAAGGAAACAACGTGATAAAACCCACCATTATGGCTTCTCGGCTTACTGAGCGGTGGAATCGGAGACCATTGGTTGGTCTTCGGATTAAAAACTTCAGCAGTCTTCAGATCGTTGTTGCCATTACTTCCGGCAATAGCATAGACCTAATCAGCAGCATGAGATGATAAAGATCCTACAACTCCCATCCTAGAGCTAACCAATCCATTCAAGACAGCGCTGTCAAATCGTCCTCGTTCTTCTAACATGGGATGCATCTGCTTCCACTCACCAGTCATCACGTCATATTCTTCCACAGATTTCAAGCATTCACCTCGGTCGTAGCCACCTAAGCATTCATCCTCCAAGGCATACACATATCGATGTTTGATTGGGCACTTACCGCAAACAATAATTTTTCCATTTACAAATGATGCCCCAATTGAACAACGCGCTCCATTCATGCAGGCTAGTGGCCGTCTTTGACTTCCTGTGCATGTGATTAATCGCGACAATAACGCTGTTTTTTGTGGATCGACGCTGCCTCTAAAAATCGATCATGGCGCATCTGGTGCTAGACAGCTGTTCACATCAAGAAAGAATATTAAAAAAAAACACTTGCCCGTTATTCTTAGTTTTTGTAATATCTTCATCATCTGTCAGCTGTATGCTCAGAACTACAAGCCGACGGTAAAGAACACAGAGAGCGACCCAATAGTCAGCTGCGAACAAAGATAATCGCCATCACTATATCACACTAAGGCTTCAAGAATACTTACAGGAAGTCTGGTGTATGGCAATGAGCCTCGTTTCAATGGTATCTTGCGGATCGCTGTCTGTGGAATCCAGCGACTTCAAACTTTCTGTAGATGAGTATCGCACATTCGGTACACGACTGGCATTCAGTCGTACTGGGACTGCTCCAGTTACGCGATGCTGGATAGGAGCATTGAATGACGCATCCATGGACCCACTATAAAATACGAATCAAAATCATAGCTGCTGAAAGTAAAGATTCAATAAAAAAACTCACTTTGTCACCGCTTTCGCCACATCTTTGCCACTCTTCTTATAATCCTGAATGATATCACAGCTACCGACAGAGGATTTATCATCCAAGTCTGCGCAATCTGTTAGTCGAAAGTCATCTTCGAAGTAGAGTAGGGTAGTCTGCAACAGGTGATTCCCAATGATGTGTGTATATCAGTTAGGAAGTGAAGAGTAAGTTCAGCAGCAAAAGAATTTACTACACTAGCCTACACTATTTATTCCAGCATACATTTCTCTCGCTCTCCCCCCCCCCCCCTTTACCCGCCCTCTCGTTTCTCAGGTGCATGAAACGAAAGATTCAATGTAGTTAATATCCCACCTTGTGAATTAGCGTCTCTATTGAATGTTCTATCCTATCGTGAGGTAGCCTATTGAAATAGTCAAGGGTACTTTGTGCAATACTCATTCCTCTTTCTACCGAAACTCTTTCAATAGGTCGGCCATCCTCTGCTGGTACGATAATTCGGGTCTGCAATTCGGAATCATGTAAAACATACAACGAATGATAGTAATAGAGGAATAAGAAACTGAGTAATTACTTACCCTGATGCAAGGTAGCTGCGTAAATTCCACACTGTCGTCGACAATCTTTGGGAAGTTTTCTTGGATGAACGTATCGACTTTACTCATTAAATAAACATCATTGTTGAAATTAGCTTGACGTCGAATTCCTGCAAAAAAAGTCAAATGACTCCTCGACAAGGTTCCAAAGTACTCACCTATGCAGTTTTTAAGATTGAGGTTGTCGGCAAGAAAATTTGCGCAAGCTTTTACAACAGGTGTCATTTGGAGAGCAAAAGCAGTTTTGTACAGTTCAGCAACCTTCTTCGAGCTAATTTCGAGGCTAAAATGTAGTCCACATAGCTTGGAGATTTTAAAAAATTTAAAATCGTGGCGAAGACAACTTACTAGGAAGTATATGCAAAGTTGACAAGAGCTTCAAAGCATTCGTAATCAGTTTGAGCAAAATCAAAATAAGCCATAGGCTTTTTCGTTGAAGGTGCAACGGTCAGCGTAGTAGTGAACTGACCAGGGTCATGAACATTCTCACTCGATCCACCAGTAGAACCTAAAACCTTTAGGGTGCCGGTAGATTCAGCTGCATTTACTTTCAGCAAGATTAACTACTACGATCAAGCCTTCTCTAAAACTGAAGTGGAAAAATATTCAAAAAAATCACATAAAGGCAAATATAAAAAGCATGCTCAAGCAAATGAAAACAAAAACATACCTCCATTCTCCTCTTCGTCTTCTGTTAAGAACATATCAAACAGAGCGGGAGAAACTGCGGCCAGCACTACTTTATGAGCAAATATCTCTCGTTCTCTAAAATTGTCGTTGTTCAATTTCGAAGCCTAAACATCACTGAGTGTTCTTCAAACAAACCTTACAAAAAGTACGATGTCGCAGAGTTCCCTGTTACACCGAAAAGTGTTCAAACGATTCAGGAGCTCATTCTAAAGCGAAAGAACTAAAGCACAGAACCACCAACAGACCAAAGTACTGGTTCAGCAAACAGTCATGACAACAACCGTCATAAATTCAAAAATGGAAAAAGAAAACCAGCCTTTATGGACGAATCGCGAAGAACAAGTTGATAATCTTCTCGTTCATCCAGCGAGTCATGGCCCCATTTGTCTGTATCATCAGCACGCATGGATACAGCACAGCGCACTCGTTTAGGCACTAATGTTATTTGGTCAGCCTAAAAATACAAAAAGTCAAGAAGTGACATTGAAACTTACATATAAGCAAGAATATGGTGAACGGAAGTCTGACACTTTGATAATGAAAATCCCACAGAAATTCAAATTGTCTTATCGATTCTTTTTCTATCCTTGCTTTCCTCTTTCCCGCACTATAAGCTCCTAGACGCTAAACTAGCCAGGCTATGTTCAACACCGCGATATTTTGCTTCGCGAAGCTGACATTCAGTTTTCTACGATAACTTGCTAATCCCGATAACATCTATATATAGCTAAGGTCGTAACACCAGTCGGACAACACAAGTTCAACACCTCGCAACGGTTTCACATCGGCGATAAGACAACTGTTCGCTGCTCTGACCACACATCGCACTGCACTTCTTTTGCAGAACGGTCGGTCAGCTGCTCTTAACGTTTCATGATGACGATTCGTCATAGTGTTCAAAGCGCCAGACGAAAAATTTTTTTACTATCGCATGGAGTGTCACTGCGTCACCTTTCCACCTAAGAACACTTGTTGCGAAGCAGATACTTCGAAATGAGACTAATAAAGGTGAAAGCCAGGATACGAATGAACACTACAGACAACAGACTTCATAGTTTGGGAACAAATCAAGAAAGCTCCACACTTCCACACGATCCAAAAATGCTCTCCTCATATCAGTTACTAAGCTGGGAAGCTGTAGTGATTCCCATCAGGCGCTTAGTAAGGTTTCACAGGTCTCAGTTAAGCCTAACCAAGCAAATCCTTTCAGGGTTTGCGGAAAATATCTCTATTCATTTTTTCGAACAAAATTCGGATGGACATAACTTGACATACAAAAACAACCTTCGATACATTTCAGGCAAAAAAAAACCAAAAAGACCGGGAAACGATTGACTCAAAAACAGCTACTCCAGCCGCCTACACAAGAACTTCAACATAAATACACATTATGAAACATCTGCAGAAATTTAAATGATAAAAAAGCTTTGGTGTCTGTGCATCAACTAATCTATATCATATACTCAAGCAGTTCCGTGCGGGTCGCTATTGAGTTGCAAGGCTAGATATTAGTCCTAAAGGTCGCTTTCCAACACTCTGATACCAGCGAAAGGTCAAAGAATCATATGTTGGAAGCATGTATCACAGATATCATCCGCTCCCGTAAATATAGTGAACAAGCACTGCTAAATGGACTGCAGTATCACGAATGAAAAATTGCTATAGAGATTCATTGCAATTTCCGACAGGAAAATACTAATTGTCTTACTATTGCAGGAACACAAAAAAAATCGGACGTTTGGCGTCGATTTTTTTACGAAGCCACCAACTATTTGATAAGCTGCAAGCTAAAGAATTCCCTACAAGTTTCAGACCACTGTAATATGCTAATGCCCAAGAAGCAAAATTTTTCCAAAGGGAAATCATGCAAATTTGAAATAGAATTACTAAAGAATAAATGCAAAACAGATGAAGAAAGAGATAAAAATCAGAAAAAAATGGATCATGGTGCGCCCTACACATTATGCAGTCTCATCACTCTTTTAGACAAAATTGCAACTTTATATACTATGAAAACAAGTTAAAATCTGTAGTTTGTGCTTATCTTGCCGCTCCGGATTACCAATAGATCTTATCGACTTTTTTCTGACACGATATGATAAAGTGTGATAATGGAATGACATATTGCGCTGATTCCTCTAGCACCAGAAGTCACATATATCATGCAATGTTCCAGAATCATCTATCTTTCTTCGTGATCGTCGTAAACGAACTTCGACGTCGACGCTTCTCGTTCAAATGTCACAATTTACACTTCATTCATAGCATCACACAGATGATATGAACCTCCGCACTTCGCAGCTAATCTTTAAGCTGGTTCATAATGAGGAGTAGAGTGATACGATTGGAATAAAAGAATTTCAAATTGGATGAGCGTTATGCGAAAAATTGCAAAAGTCTTAACCTGCTGACAACGTTAAGAAGGCTCACATCTGCTACGAGGTGGGAAAACCGCTGAACGTTTTTGTTTAGCCTCAAAAACATAAAGCTGCTGCCAGCTGCTCAACTAATCGATATGAAAATGTGTGAGGATATGGTATGCAAATCAAAAACCAGAACAAAATAAATCACCATGTCTCAATATGTTTCCCGAGCAACAGCGACAATTTAATTCAGATGTTAATCATACCAACAGACAGAGAGCGGAAAATGTGGCACAAACGCAAGCGAAACAAAAGCTTCACCCAGCTTTTAGATATGCATTTTCGTCTCATAGCGGTACGAATGACTCCAACCAAAATTTTGCGTGACACCGCGTAACAACACCTACACCACATATCAAAAAATTCAATTATTTTTGTACTGCTCACCTTTTTAGTAGATGGTGGCTCCACCACGGTCGATGAGCTAGCACTTTCATCGACTGGACTGAGATTCGTTGGCATCGCGGAGTGGATGATTTCGGATCGTCTGCGATCGAGAAAAACTCGCCACCAGTCACGATTGATTGGAACGTTTGCCGTTCACCGCAGATACCCAAAATCAGCACTTGCAACTGAAAGGCACACTTCTTGGTGTAAATCGCGAAGATGAGCACAGAACGCGCACGATTTCTCATATGACGATCAAGTGGAGAAAAGAAGACAAGCAAACACCTGCGAGATGATCAAAAGATCGGTAAATTCTAAAGTACAAAGGAGCGGAGATATATGAAGTGACAAGCGCGAGGTGAGAGCAGAGGCAGTGAGACATGGGACCAATGAGCACATGACAGCATGCAGCAAATAGGCTTTCAGAGAATTCTGGATGAGCTTTGGCGTTCATCTACGCATAGACGCAGGCACAATAAATAAACCGACATTTACCAGCGTAAACATGTACACTGACGAAACCAGAACGAAAAACTGCAGAGTCAAAGAAAAGTGCAGTCAGGTTACAAGAAAAAAAACAAATGGCCAATGGAAGACACAACGCTAGCCATCTGCTCAAGCAGTACCAAAGAGACCATAGTTCAAAATTTTTTTCATCTTCCATAAACAGCCCAACGCCATGCTTTCTTTTGAACTCATGAAAATTCAATGCGTAATTTCGCGCTTGAAAGCTTACAAAGAGTGCATTTAGCACCTCTAAAGTGTTTTGAAATAGGATGCAAAGATTGTGCAAAAAGCTAGCATTCCGCGTTTCCATGCAACGAACATGGAGAAACGATTGAAACAATTATGATTTCACCCAGTGTGGAGGATAAAGACAAAACAAGTTCACTAGTTTACGGAAAGTCCCATGACCCATAAAACTAAAGTCAGCACTGCCTCTTTAATGATAAAAAGGATTGCGAGAGTAAACGGTGAACTCTGCATCCAAAGAATTCAGAATGGGTCAGCGAAAAGACACATTTCATGTTTACTTTGTTACACGCTAAGCAAAAGGAGCACGCAGACAAAACGGTAAATTGATAAATGGGGTTTGAATGTAGACGTAATTGGAACTCAGGCATGCCTCTGTTACGCGAAGTTCTGAGGGGAGCAAAATAAGATACAGGGTGTCCCAAAAAAATGTGAACACTGTTTAATCGTTAATAACTCCGTTGCTTTCATGTCTTTCGCCGAGCTTGAGGCACTATTCTGTAGAGCGCGGTTCAACTTAGATTTGTAGTATGGGTATGGAGCGGATCACCGATCGCTCTTCGTTACTGTAGGATCACAGTATGAACTTCTGGCATGTGGATCTATTGTGAAATATGCCATTTGACAGAATTTTTTTCAAAAAATCTGGAAAATCGTTTACTAAGGTTTTCGCGCACGCTGATTCCATAGCACAACTTTTTACGAGTGTTTTTAGCTTTTTTGACGGTGTAATGACATTTTTGACAAATGCTGGACATTCTGTTACTGCGGTTTACCTGGGATAACTTCGGAAAGAAGCGTCACAGTACAGTGGAAATTTCATATTCGAAATCAGCGGCTTCCATTACCCATATATAAAAGTTTTTGGCTTGTTTGGTTTTGTTCCGAGGCAGAATATGGCTTTCAACGGCTTAGATTCCTTAGTCAAAGTTCCTACCGTAATCCTACAGTAACGAAGAGAGATCGACGATTCGCTCCATACCACAAATCTAAGATGAACCTCGCTCTACAGAATGGTGCCTCAAGCTCGGCGAAAGATCTAAAAGCAAAGGAGTTATTAACGATCAAACAGTGTTCACATTTTTTGGGACACCCTGTATATGGCATACAACGCCGCGAAAGCGGTCACCTTCCATTTTGAATGGAACTGGAAGCGAACAGCATATGATTCACCACAAGATGATATGTATTAGCATCAACATACATCATGAACTGGAAGAAACGAACCGATACCGGTGGTGAGAGCGACGATTAAGTCCGCTATGTTCGAAATGGACAGCGGCGGCGGTGGGGCGTAGCCGGCCAGCGCGGCCAACTGCAGCCAGCTGCGACGACGACCACGAGAGGGTGGAGTTAAGGCGGGGGCCCGGCGACCACGATGCTGTTAGTTCAAAGATCCTGCCCAGAGAGCGTTGTGTTCGTCCCCTGACACTACCATTCATTTGCAAAAACACTACCCCTACACATCAATGATCACCTCTAAGAAGATCTGACTTTACTTGGATTCCGTGATTAACCAGTGCGGGAAAAGTGCGACGTCACCTAGCAACCCGAGATTGCATAAGCTAGGACAATGGCTCGCGACTGCAGAAGTGCGACCCATAGTAGTTTGCAAAAGCTGTTCACTGAAGGGCAATTTGTCCTTAAAGTCTTAAAAATAAAAAATGCCAGTCATTGAAAATGTAAAGCACGAAATGCACTTCTCGGCGTATCGTAAGATGCTTAAAATGATAAACAAGTAGCTTGTACTAATAATCTCGCCTGCACTGACTATCTTGCTCTCCCCTGGTGATAAATAGAGCACATCGGGAAACAAGAAAATCCTATTTACTGCTCAAAACCGTAAAAGTGCATGCTCATTCCAAAATGGATACGATCAAATTTGTCCTACTGTACACAATAAGCCACCTGATATGGCATTCAAAAGTGCAAAGTAATCTCAATATTCTGTGCAAGTTGCCGGTCTGTTTATCGACATTTGCGAAAAGTCCATGAAAAAACCAACTTTTCACAACTTTGTGCGAAAAAATGTTCACCATTCAAGATCTGACAGAATTTTACTCTACAGAGACCTTACATCTGTTTAGCTTTGATAAAAGAGCTTGACAAGAAAAGAAAGAAACTACTTAGCGCAGCATAAAAAAAGTCTCAAATGGGCAGGTAGCGATAAGAAGCTTGGCAGCACCTCTAGGGCGCAATTTTTTTTTGATTTTCAAGTAATCACATCAAAGTACTGAATTGTGAGATAGTCGAAGTACACATTATTCAACGAGATAAGAAAAAAGTTGAAAACCGCATGAAGTTCAAAATAGCGGTCCTTGACCATAAGAGCTTACCGATGCACTTTGTTCACAGTCGCATCTATTCGAAGAACTGGACAGTGTCCTAGAACTTGACCAAAGTAGAAACCGAAAGAAGAGGTTCGCACATAAGCCCCGACTGTGCACTAGGCCTTACCGATTCTTTCAGCCCACGCTTTTAACTCCGCTAATAAATGACCGTCGACGTTTGAAATCTGAAACTCATGGAGAAAAGCAGGGGTAATTTGAGAAAGAACCAGCCTTTTCCACCAAAGAGGTAAATTTGACACTCAGAAACCTAGCCAACTGAAGAACTTACTAGAGCATCGCGATCATACTATCAACTTTAATGATCTGAAAAAGTCATAGTGAAGCTGCCATTCTCCAATGCCCAGACTGATAAATGAGCCACAGTTTGTTTCAATGGTTTAAACCGAAGATTTCGCGGTTCGACGCTCGCCCATAGCGGTGCGGTCGTTCAGCGGGGCATGCTTGACATCCACTTCAATCATGTCTTCCTTGGCCACAATTTGGGGAATGCAGACGGCTATTGACTTTTTTGTGATCACATCACAGGCGCTATAAATCGCGAACGACGAAAATGCCAGACGGCACATAAAGAACGTAATAATGCGCTAGACGGGTCATGGCAGCACAAAACAAGATTTAACAATTTTTATAACTGTGAATAAATGAGATAAATGTGAACTAATGAAACTACATACACTTTGTGAACTTGCATGGTGGTTCCGACGAGATCCAGAATGCGGCACAGGGGTAGGTACTATAAACGCAGCACGATAGCAAAACAGTTATTGCGGCCGTTTCTTTCCGTTCATAATTTTTGATCCGCTATACCACAATGCTTTACAGATGTTTAATCTAATCAATAAAGCGCGCATCAATAAAGTATCCTGAGTAAATAATGGCGGCACCGTTCGCTGTCTTTTCGTAAACAAGCAAACAATAGGAACAAGACTGACACAGAAGTTTCCGCCTGCAAAAGACGTGATTGATACGAGTGGAATGCATGACATGAACGGCTGTAGGGCAGAGTGAATAGAGAACAGAATTCGTGCACTGACGCAAAACAGATGATAACAAACGTTCCGTAGCAAAGCACTTGTCAAGTTCATTTGCTGAGCTGTCCAGGAAATACGAGAAATTTCAACGAACTTCCAAATGCACATGTATTCGCATTCGGTACTCTGTGTACTTCAAGAATTAAATGAGATCTCAGTGATAAACATAAGGACAACCTTGCAAAGGAACTCAGATAATTGGGAGTGCCGGTTTTTTCATGGCCAGATTGTAAAATTCGCTCCGTATGATGCGCTTCCGCAATTACACAAATTGATGTTATCACACCGCAAAGAACACAGTTGCGCAAACACGGGAGTGCTGCAGATCACATGGAAGATGGATATAACCGAGTAAAAAGAAAAGTGCCTCGTGCCCCTGCAAAAATGAATAGTTGTTTATAGTACAAATTCCGGCATTTTTACCTCAAAAGAGATATAAAAAGTCCAGAATGGACTAGTTGTGTACGAAGGACACTCGAGGAATTTGTAATGCAGTAGTAGTTAGGCAAAATAGAATGTGTATCTATCCTCTACTATCTATTTGCAGGCTTACGAATCTGACGGTAAATATTATTATTATTTATTACATAGGCTACCCTATGTTGACAAAACAGCAATATCAACAAAAAAAAAAGAACAAAACAGCAATATCAACAAAATATTCGAATGACAATGAACCAAAAGTGTTAGTAACAATAACATATCAAAACATCCTACTGCAGATTCATGGAGAAAGTAGATAGTTCTTCAGGACTGCTTTGAACTGTGAAAGCTTATAATGGAGCATTCCCTTCCTCATTAGTTTATCAAGATCACTGCATACTCTATTAACGAAAAACCTTCTTCTCACATTCCTTCTCGCTCTAGGGACCACTATCTTCATTGGCCCTCCTCTCGTTCTTGAGCGCCTCATTTGGAAAAAGTCCGAGGGATTGACCTGATACTCTTTAAACAAGATTTTGTGTGCTGTAATAAGGTCAAATACCCTTCTCCTGAAAGCTAAACTATTTAATCCAAAGTTTTTATTACGCCGATTGCCATCAACTATTTCATCATAGTCAAGCCCTTTGGTTCGGATCCATAGTTTTCTAGTAAAACTATTCTGCACTTTCTCAAGGGTCCGTATAGAGCTTACTTTCGTGGGATTGAATACTACCGTGCCGTACTCAAGTAGAGGTCTAATGTAGACTTTATAAGCTCTGATAAGGAGGGCTGGATCACTACTTGATAAAGCACGGAATAAGTTGTGTACGGCTGCATTGCCCTTCGCAGCAATAGTTTCACAATGTTTATCAAAGCTGAGATCGCTACAGACCAGAAAGCCGAGATCTCGAATCTCATCAACGTACTCCAGAATTTCTCCTTCTATTTGATACTGATAGTCCAAATCTTCAGGTCCAATGTGTAGAACTTTTGTTTTTTCACGAGAGATTGGCAAGTTCCATGTTTTCGACCATTCAAAAACGATATTTAGAGCTTCTTGCAGCGTAGCCTTATCTGCCATTGTTGTGATTGTTTTATAGATTTTGAAATCATCAGCAAAACTACAACAGGACACTCCTGCTCTGGAAACAAGAGCAGGAAGTTCATGAGTATAGATGTTAAAGAGTATTGGAGATAGTACGCCTCCCTGCGGCACGCCACTAGACATCATTCTGAAGCGAGAGAACGTCTTATTAACGTGAACCGAAAATTTGCGATTGGATAAAAAAGCGGAGATCCAGGCAACAAAAATAGGATGGATACCAACTTGTTTGAGTTTGATTGCAAGTTTTTTATGTGAAACCTTGTCAAAAGCTTTCGTGAAATCAAGATAAACAACATGAATACTTTGCCCAGAATCCAACGAATGGGTCCAATCATTTAGCGCATACAACATACAAGTAACGGTGGATCTGCCCTCTTGGAAACCATGTTGGGCAGTGGGAATTATATTTTGTTTTTGTAGATGATTAACTATCTGTTTTTTGATTAGTTTTTCAAAAAGTCTCGAAAAAATCGATGTTATGCTCACAGGTCGATAATTGGATAGGCATGTATAGGGTTTCTTCTTTGGTATAGGAGTTACGAAAGAGATCTTCCATCGTTCAGGAATTTCAGATTTCATTAAGCTCAAATTGAATATGTATTGGAGTGGTTTAGAGATTACATGGGCCGCCGCTTTGATGAAATGCAGCGGAATGCCATCCGGTGTGAGCGACCTAGATGGAGGCCACTTCCGAAGCACCTCAAAGATTTCAAAGTCATTGAAATATCGTATATCTTTCATCTCCGCATAGTCAGGTGGCAAGGAACTTGTATCAATGTGTACTGAATCCTGTTCAAAAACTCTTTCAAAGCCATCAGCAAAACCTTCAGCTTTGTCAAGGTCTGAAGTCATGGTATCCCCCGTGTCGGATATGATCACACCCATTTTTTTCCTTTCTTTAATTCTACTGTTGAGCAAGCGAAAGAATGCGGTCCTATCTCCCTCTTTAACTGTCTTATTTTCTAAGTAGGTATTATATTTCTTAAGTCTTTTTTCAAACCTGGCGTTTACCCTTTTGAAAGCAAGCAAATCCTCTGCTTGGCCAGTAGCTACAAATCTAAACCAGGCCGACTCGCGAGCTCTAAACAGTTTTTCAATGTGGACTGGTAATTTAGGTCCACTTGATGGGACAGCCTTTAGTGGAATGAAAAGAGTGATTGCATGTTGGATTGCAAAAATCAATAGTTCGTACATTTCATTGACCGTTGTGACTACTCCAAATGATCCAATCCAATCAATAGACTCGAGATATCTAATGGCAGCCTCAACATATTCGGTTTTATAATCCCTTTTCAAAACAATATCACCAACGGGACCACTTACATAACGTATGTAAAAACTAAGTAACAAGTGATCACTTGTTCCGATAGGAGGTCCGACCCTGACCTCAGTAACCAGTGACTCATCGTTGGTAAGTACCAAATCGAGAGTGTTTTGCTCATGGGTATGATGTCTAACCTTTTGAACGAGGTTCTGGCTCAGACACATATTCAAAAAGTTCCTTGACATGGAGTTGCCCCCATTAACTTCCAACATATTCCAATCAATATCAGGGAGATTGAAATCTCCCAGTAGGATAGTCGAAAAATTCACGGCCATCAAGTCTGAGAGGGCCTTGATCAACTGATCGAAAATGGGACGTGGGCAGGAGGGCGTTCTATACACCAATATTATTCGACCTTTTCTCATACTGGTATGAATGTCTACACAAAGTAACTCATAACCATCAATGATCGACTCACTGAATACTAAAAGTGGACACAGAGCCTTACTTAGCAGTAAGGCTACACCACCGCCCCTTTTAAACTTGCGATCACATCTATATATCTCGTAAAATCTGCATAATTCGCCAAAAAGGGCGGCATCGGATATATCATAGCTTGCGTTCAACCAGGTCTCTGTAATCCCGCATATACATGGCAAGGTATTGGCGAGGAGGAATGTGAGCATAGATAAATTTTTTTGCAATGATCTTATATTTGTCAGAAAACACAAAAAAGACGAAAAAGAACTATCTTCTCTCCGAGGAATAACTATGCGTTTAAAGAATCAGCAAAATCAGTATGGGAAGAATGATTGATGACATCCATATGACTATTAGCAGAAGGGGAAACATGAGAAACTTGAGAAACATGAGAAACATGAGAATCAACATTTTCATTTCTGGAAACACTTATTCGCAATCCTTTCTCTAGCTTGAGCTTTTCACGCTCCGCTTTCGATAAGGACGCCCTAATGAATATGCCTTTTTTGTAAGGAAATTTCTTCATCAGATAGGCTCTCTTAAGTGTTAGTCCAACAAAAAAAGTTGAAGGCATTACTACTTTAAGCAATCTATCCCGCGAAAAACTAGGTCTCCCCATGCGGTAAATTGCAATGGGGGCACAATCAATATTCAAAAAATCGAAAATCTGACAAACGCAATTCGAATCATGATTAACTCTTACGCTGCTTGGTCCACCACGATATTCCGGAATTCCAGCCAGTACCAACGATCGTCTTCTTTCTTGTTCCTGCCATCCGATTTGATCCACGTCGGTTTGACTCGGAAGATTTGTTCCGATTTGATCCACAGAAGTTGGTTCGGCTTCCGACTGGTTTTTTGATCTGAGAGATAACCTTAATCTATCGTTTTCGGATTTGAGCGAAGTAATCTCATCAGATAATTTTTTCACTTCGTCCATCAACTCACGATTGCTTCTGACAATCGACTCCATTTGTTTGCGGCTTTCCAGCAAGTATCCGATTATAGTCCTAGCATATAGCGGGAGATTATCGTCCAGCAATAGCGAATTGGCGGCCTCGTCCAAGTCAGGGGATTGTGGAGGCGTTTCATCAAACTGCAGCCTTCGTTTTCGCTGGCGGTCCACAGAGGGAATTGGGTAAACCGGTGTATCCTTGACCATAATAACAGCAGTGTAGGGCGATTTCCTTCAGTAGTTCGACTAGGAATACAAGACGAATCGATCCTTGAGCGGGGATAAGGAAGAACCAGGGATAAGGAAGCTGCTGAGCCGGGGAAGGTATTGGACGGAAGAGGGATCGATGACCCGACCGCTCAGCGCGCGCGAATGTGTCGAATGTGAATATAGTGCGTGCCTGCGGTACCGACAATCCCCGACAACACCTATGCGTAAACAAATTGCCATGGGAAAATGCGCGCTCTGCGGCCATGTACGCGCAGACTGCCGACATTACGTGGAAATTTGTCGCGGGCGAACGTTGTCGGCAAGTGTGATTATAGCAAGGATATAAACATCATTATAGTTACTGACTGGCTTACCCAGCTCCGCCCGGTTCTGCCAAACGATAAAGGTCCCATTCCTATCCCTGTGCAACCTTTCCCTGTGCCCACTTTTACTTGAAATTCCCTATTCCCGCTGTGTTAGTAATCAGTATGCTCACCTACAGTCGCTTCACTTCATATAATCATGTGTGTCATTGCACACACAATTCACCTTTGGCGTCCCCATCCTGGATTCGTGGGAGAAACAAGCCTTCAGGTAAGTGTTTCCAAGGTGTTCTTAGCATTTTCTTGTCTTTTTAGTTACTAGTCACCTCAAATTGAAGTAATCGATAACAATCGGTAAGTCTCTTGCATTTTTGCGACTGCAAATCCAGGATGAGGACGCCAAAGTGGACTGTGTGTGCAATGACACACATGATCATATGAAATGAAGCGACTGTACCTTCCTCACCAACCTCCAGCCCCGTGACTCAAACTTCGCAAAAAAATCAATAAAAATCGATAAAAGTAATGGAAAATTTTGAAAACTAATATTGTATTCGTAATCAGCATGCTCGGTTACCCCCTGTGCCAACTCCCAGCCCCGTAGCTCAACTTTGCAAAAAAAATCGATAAAATCGATAAAAGTAGAGGATAGTTCCAAAAACTATATCGTATTCGTAATCAGCATGCTCGATTACCCCCAGTGCCAACTCCCAGTCCCGTAACTCAAACTTTGCAAAAAAATCGATATAGTCGACAAAAGTACAGTCGCTTCATTTCAAATGATCATGTGTGCCATTGCACACACAATCCACTTTGGCGTCCTCATCCTGGATTTGCAATCGCAAAAACGCAAGAGACTTACCGATTGTTATCGACTACATCAATTTGAGGTGACTGGTAATTAAAAAGGAAAGAAAATGCTAAGAACACCTTGGAAACACTTACCTGAAGGCTTGTTTCTCCCACGAATCCAGGATGGGGACGTCAAAGGTGAACTGTGTGTGCAATGACACACATGATCATATGAAATGAAGTGACTGTAGCGGATAATTCCAAAAACTGATATCGTATTCGTAATCAGCATGCTCGGTTCCCCCTGTGCCAACTCCCAGCCCCGTAGCTCAACTTTAAAAAAATCGATAAAATCAATGAAAGTAATAGATAATTCTAGAAATTAATATCGTATTCGTAATCAGCATGCTCGATTACCCCCTGTGCCAACTCCCAGCTCCGTAGCTCAAACTTCGCAAAAAAATCACCCGCCGAGGCTCGAAGTGTATGTGTGCCAAGTTTGGTCCAGATTGGTTCAGAAATGGAATTCTATTCGGAGCATACGTACACACATACAGTCGATTCATTTCATATGATCATGTGTGTCATTGCACACACAGTCCACCTTTGGCGTTCCCATCCTGGATTCTGGGAGGAAACACCTCTTCACGGACGCATTTTCAACGTTATCTTATATATAAAGCTGAATGTCTGTTTGTCTGTCTGTATGTCTGTCTGTATGTCTGTCTGTACGTATGTTCCGAATAGAAATTTTTATTTCTGAACCGATCGGGACCAAACTTTGCACACATACACTTCGGGGCCGGGCGGGTGTCATAGGCTACTTTTCGTCATCGATCGATATCGATTTCATCGATTTTTTGCAAAATTTGAGCTAAGGGGCTAGGATTTGGTACGGGGGGGGGGTAATCAAGCATGTCTCGATTACCCCCCTGTGCCAAATCCCAGCCCCGTAGCTCAAATTTTGCAAAAAAATCGATAAAATCGATAAAAGTAATGCACGATTTCAAAAACTAATATTGTATTCGGAATCCCCATGTTCACTTACCCCCCTGTGCCAACTCCCAGCCCCGTAGCTCAAATTTTGCAAAAAATCGATGAAATCGATATCGATCGATAACGAAAGGTAGCCTATGACACCTGCCCGGCTCCGTAGTTTATGTGTGCAAAGTTTGGTCCCGATCGGTTCAGAAATAAAAATTTCTATTCGGAACATACGTACCCCGGCGGAGCCGGGTAAGTCAACTAGTTATTTATAGTTCTTTGCTTTCTAGGTACTAATCACCTCAATTTCGTGTAATGGATAACAATCGCCGAGTCTCTTGCGTTTCTGCAATTGCAACAGGATGAGGGCGCCAAAGGTGGACTGTGTGTGCAGTGGCACACATAATCATATGAAATGAATCGACTGTACATACAGACAGACATACAGGCAGACATTCAGCTTTATATGTATATGTAAAGTCACTATTTGATTTATCTCTACATATGCAAAGCAGAAAGCTTGTATGTCTGTGCACATTCCCCATAGTCACGAAGGATGAGCGGTGAAGCTCAATTTGATCTGCTGGTCATCAGACATGGTAAGGACGATAGGGAACGAACCCAGGACGAGTCGCAATTAAAAGTAGGATAAGTTTCGCTGCATGAGAGCTCAAGCACGATAGACTGGCTCCAAACCGGGGTGGAACCTGGGATGCCAACTCGTTTTATATATATATCTATTACCATTGGGCGCTATTCCACTTAACACAACCCAAAAATACAAATTACGGATTTTACTAAAAATTCGTCTAGGGAGTTTCAACCTGCTGATCGCGAAAATAATATTCAATTTGCACGGTGGGGCCTTTTTGGGGGTTTTGGAAGGTATACAGTATGAGGTCAAAATCTCAGAATTGAAAGTTTGCGTAGGAGAGCTATTGGACATGCTGGTCACGAGCATCATACTTTTTCCGCGCGAAAACGCCCTCCTCTATGGTTACGGTAGGGTGCACGGTAGGGAGTCAAGATCTAGGTTTGGCTGGAATGTGGTCCAGAAAGCACGCTAAACATGGATATCAGATTGACTTCGTACGGCGGCCGCAGCTTTTAAGGGGGTGTGCCGCACCCCATTAACTATATCAAAAAAACATTTTTAGCGGACAGTATTTATATGAATCGATAGCCTAAACCTTGTAGATTCCTCAGGACTGTTTTGAGCCTGATTCGTCTTCTCAGCTCTGGGTAATATTTGGTGAAAGCACAGCGATCAAAAGCGAAAAATGGGAGAAACGAGATTTTGGTTGGCTTCCAATTCCACAGTTTGGAGGTCTTCTGAAGCGGGATTCCTGAGGTGGACAAAGAAAAAGTAGTGCTTTGTCTTGAGTGCAAAAACGGATAGCTAATTCACCTTTGAAACAAAGTTAACCATGTTGGAATTTGACCATTTCATTTAGGTAGCCTAGCATCTTGAATCTTCAGAATTCGCTCACACTTTGTCTACAGGGGTTATTTGACATGCTAATTATGGATAGGATACGAATATCATGTTATCACTATTATCAGATTACCCAACTACGACCCCCTCCCCTTCTAACTCCTCAATACGATCCCCCAGGTGTGGCGTGCCGCACCCCACGCTTGACCCTGGTCATGCTCTTTGTAAAGACATCTTAGCTGCTTACTAATGGTCATCTGTTGCATAAATAGGAGCGATAGAAAAAAAATTGGTCAAAATTTGAATTTTCTGTGTAGGGTCAAAAATTGGAGCAGTCGGTGTTGTAAGTTTTTTTACCAGCTCTTTCTAACAGTGCAAAGTTTGCGCCGATTGAGCATCTCTACGAAAAGTCACGATTTCTCTGAAAAATGCCAAAATAAATCAAATTCGCCCTTTTGTATTGCTTGCTCGAAAATCTTAACTTTTCATAGAAATGCTTAATCGGTGCAATTTTGTTAGAAAGAGCTGGTAAAAGAACCTACGACACCGACTGCTCCGATTTTTGTTGCAAGTTTCCGATTTTCTATGACCCTACAAAGAAAATTTGTTTTGACCAATTTCCTTCTATCCTCCTATCTACGCAACAGATGAGCATTAGTAAGCAGCTAAGGTGTCATTATAAAGAGCATGACTTACTCTTTCATACAAAAATAAAAGCATCAAATCGGTTTGAAAAAGAAGCTATGAATTTTTGAAAATCGTGCGCAAGAACTTTCGGGACGACCTAATATAAACATACTATGGGCATACCCGGCTCCGCTCGGCCCTGTCAAAACACTATGACAAAGGTCCTATATCTATCCCTGTACAACCCTTCCCTGTTCCCCTCCTACACGCCAAGTTTCTATCATCGTTTGACTTTCGATATCAGCATGCCCACTATTAAAAAAGTGAAATTCTTGCGCGGCTCATTAGTATGGTTGCAGTATGGATTTCGATGCGGTGTTACCTCAAACTCGGGTAATTAACCATCATTTCAGGAACGTAAACATCAATGAAATAAATGCAAATTACTACGAGAGTGAAGTGCCCCCAAAGGTCAAAACTATCGTACTTCTTGAATAGAAGTCGCGATGCTTGTAGATGAACTCTCCCCACCCCTCCTTCAAAACCCCAGAAAACTAAAAGAGCCGGAAGACTTGTCGTTCCTAACCTAGGATACTTGCTGGAACTAACCATACCAGAAGGCTTGTGGAAGACTGCCGGACACCTCTCATCTGTTGGTATTTATAGCTCTGAAACCTTGTTGACTTGTAAGTGCCACGTCATTGCTGAGCTAGTGATAAGCTCGGATAGGTCAACTTGTGTGGTCAAGTTAAAGCTAAGGCGCTGATCCATTAATGGGTGTGTGCATCGACTTGTACTCGCCTGTTTGCCTGATAATTTTCTCTGTTTCACCTTTAAATATTTATCATAAACACAACAACAAATACAAGCAATTTTAAAATCTCGTCAATCAATTAACTCTAACTACAAGTGTATAAGTGAGATCACACTTTAACGAGAATTTGTGAAAAGGATAGAAGTCTCTTGGTGTCGTTAGCTTACCGCTGGGAAATCTGCCGCCTTAC